CATCTTTCACACAGCTGGTATCATACCTGACTCCCTTGGGAAAGATTATGCTTTCTTTTTTATGATTGCAATATACTCTCCATCTGCCCTGATGCCAAAATATCAATTATAGCTTTACTGGGGTGATGAAATGAACTGGTGTTCTAAAGCCACTGGACCATGAGGTGAGGATGAGGCAGCCTGAGGCAGAACAAATACTGGGTCAGGTCATTAAGAAGAGATACAGCAGCTTTTCATTCTTCAAGATCCTTGGAAAACAAACATCTCAATTTTTTAATTTAATATTTTATTTTTCCCCAATTACATGTTAAAACAATTTTACCATTCTTTTTTCAAATTTTGAGCTCCAAATTCTCTCTCTTACTCTCTCCCCTCCTCCTCCCATTGAGAAGGCAAGCAATTTGACATAGGTTATACATGTATAGTCATGCAAAACACATTTCCATGTAAGTCAAATCATCTCCATTTGAAATTGTTCTTCTAAGGGAGAGGAACTTATTCCTGGCGAAAAAAGAAAATGGTGGTCCTGAACAGGTGTCCCTGCAGAAGTTCTAATTAGAGAGAACTGTCAGGAACTCAACGTATCATCTGGGGCCCTTCAAGTGTAACAATAAGAAAAGATTGAAAAATAAATGAATTGGAACCCTCAACAGCAAAATGAATGACACATGGTTGTTTCTGGTACCTTGCCAAGACAACTTCTGGGAAACAGGGAGGATTTTGTTTGCCCGAATTTTATTCATTTTCTAGCTGTGGTGGTGAGGGTGAGCTTATCAGCACCCATGGGCTGAGAGGCTTTGAATTAGCCTCTGACACAAAAACTGGAGGAACCATTGCTATGGAAATCACTCGCCCCAAAATGTTTGGAAATTTAACAAAGAGGCAGCATGGAAAGGAGAGCAATTGACCTGGAATCATAAGCCCTGAGTTAAAATCCTGGCTCTGTTCCTCATTACCTGTGTGACTTCTGACAAGTCACTAAACATCTCTGGGCTGCAATGTCCTCATTTGTAAAATAAAATAAAATGGGCAGCTAGGTGGTGCAGTGGCTAGAATGCCAGGCCTAAGGTCAGGAAGACCTGACTTCAAATCTGGCCTCAGACTGGTGATCTTGGGCAAGTCACTTAACCTTGTTTGCCTCACTTTCCTCATATGCAAAATGAGCTGGAGAAGGAAACGGCAAATTGCTCCAATATCTCTGCCAAGAAAACCCGAAATGGGTCATGAGGAGTTGGACACGACTCAAATGACCGAACAACAGCAAAAATGAGAGGCAACAAGGAAAGGAGTAGGAAGACCCAGGTTCAAATCCTACCTCAGACACTTCTTAGTTTTGTCACCCTGACCAATTCACTTCATCTCTCTGGGCTTCATTTTCGTTGTCTGTAATTGTAGAAAGAACACTGAACTTGGCATCAAGAGAGACCCAGATGCTAACCCTGCCTCTGACACTTATTAGTTGTATGACCATAAGCAAGTAAGTCATGTAACCTCTCTAAGACTCAGTTTCCTCATATGTAAAATGGGGATAATAATACCTGTAGCACTTAACCCCACAGAGTTTGTAGGGCTTTGTAGGGCTCAAATGAGATAGAACATGTAAAGTGCTTTGCAAACTTTAAAGCAACATATAAATATAAGTAAGCATAAAAAGCAGTATATGTCCCTCTCTTTCCATATATATATGTATATACCTATATATGGGTGTATGTGTATAATAATGGTTAGCATTTATATAGCTCTTTAAAGTTTGCAAAGTGCTTTACAAGAAGCTGAGGCAAATCAAAGTTAAGTGACTTGCCTAAGGTCCCACCGATAGTAAGTATCTGAGGTAGGATTTGAATTCCTAACTTGAAGCTCAGCACTCTACCCACTATACCATCTAGCTGCTCTAAAAATAATTGCTAGCATTTCTATAATGCTTTAAGGCTTGCAGAAGACTTTATCTCCTTTTATCCTTATAACAACCCATTTTAAGGATGAGAAAACTGGGGCAGAGAGGTTAAGCATCTTGCCTGGGGTCACACAACTAATAAATCTAAAGCTAGATTTGAATTCAGATATTCCTAAGGCTCTGTCCACTGCACCTAGCTAGCTGCCTTTGCATAGATATGTGCACACACACACACACACACACACACACACACACACACACACTCTATACCTGTGATTTCACCAGTGGGAGACTGACAACTTGTTTCTAATAGAACAGAGAGCTTCCTGAGATACCCGAGGGGTTAAGTGATTTGCCCCTGTGCCATACAGCTAGTTTATATCAGAAACAGGACTTAAATCCAGTTCTTTTTGACTTTAAGGCAAGTAATCCTCTATCATCTACTACCACTCTGCCTCTCCAACCACTACATAAATATAAGTACTCTTTCTTCCACAAACACTTCCTAAGTACTCTGGGATGGTGGGGAATAGAAAGATGGAGAAAATAAGGACACTTTGGGAGTAGGCTTTGGGAATGTGAAATTCACATGAAAATATCTTAATTAGAAAGGGAAGGATTCAAGGAGGAGGAAGGAGGAAGCGGCACTGAAGAAGGTGGGCCCTCATGTAGTGATCAGCCATGAAAAATTCTCCAAGAGGCATTCATCCTTGGAAATCCTCCTCTTATGTTCAGAGAATACAAATGGAATCAAGTACAATGTGGGGCATGATTAGGGCACTAAAAAGCTAAAGTAAAAAAGGAACAAGAAATTAATGGTGCAAAAAGAACTGGCTAAGACACAGACAACATTGGGAATAGGAATAACTTTTAGACTGTAGGGGAAGAAAGCTTTTGCTAATTTGCAGATTTGTTTCAACGACTACAGAAAGGAAATTATGCCAACGAGTAAAATAAAAAGGGGGCGTTGGGCAGAGGAAGAGGCTTAAAAGACAAATAGCAACTCAGTAAGAAATGAAGAGAAAACCCAAGAGCCTAAGGGATTGTGTTTAGAATAAAGATTCAAAGATCTGGAAAGTTACAGGACAATACAAAGTTTGCTGAGTAACAACTATAGAGAGTTAGGGAGATGGTGACTGTTGTTTTGTTGGTGTTCAGCATCCTTTGTTGTCCAAGAGGACCAGTGACCTCAGGAAGGTGATGTCTTGACTTGCAAGTGAACTGGTTTGAAGTGAGGCAGAGCTGTGCAAAGGGGAAGTGAATCAAGGATTGCTGAGCAATCGATTTCACACAGCTCAGACAATGAAATCACTGAAGATAAGGGACAGGTAACAGAGATAATGGGGATCTTAAGATTTTAAAGTGTAAAGAAAGGCCTATATTTTGTACCCTTTACAAGGTGCCAAGATGTCCTTTGATCAAAACTGGTGGAACTCCAAGGCCACCTTGGCACTGGCTGATCAAGAGTTGGTTTGTGCCCCTGATGGCCCTTTAAAAATCAAAGCACCATCTTTAAGCACCCTCTGAAGGGTCTGATCTCTGAAGAAGGTGACCTCTGTGATTCAAAGGGGAGGTCCAGGAAGCACAGCTGAGCAACTTGCCCTACCAGACACCAGGAAGGGATGCCACAACCCTGCAGTACCAAAGGTGTTGGGTTCCTGTGTCTCTTTGGGAGTACTTCTCTGCACTCTGTATCTGTGCCCTCTATTCCTACTCATAACATGTTTAGTTATGGGAAAGTGTGCCTTAGGTTCACAGGGGAAATATTTTGTCACTATTGCCTTTGTTTCAAGCCAACTAGGTCCTCTAGCTGATTGGTTGGGAGGTTGGGAACTAATAGCTTTAAGAGTTAAGCCCCAGAGATACCTTGCATTAGGGGTAGCTGCTCCTCCTCCCACCAAGGATCCAATCAGGGTGCCTGAGTTAGGGAGGAATATTCCAAAGGGGATGTTATTCAACAACCAAACTCAAAGAAGGAGAGACTGAGGTAGGGACACTGGATTAATAAACAGATCATTCCAGCTCCCAGCCATCACTGGTAGGTAACTGTATTTTCTCCCTGGCTCTTGCCAGCCTGTGACCTCAATGACTCCTCTCTACCCCACTACACAAAAGTCAAATTCTCAAAAAAGCCCTGGCTGAGACTCATAGTTCAACAAGTTAACTAGATGAACTCCATCTTTAAAATAATTCCTTAAAATGCATTAAGAAAATTAAAAATGTTAAATGCTTGTTAAACCTCCCAGTCCCAAATGACTCAGATGATTTTATATATATATGTATATCTTTTTCTGTGTTGTGTGAGATGAGACCATGTGGCCTTGGAACAAAATGTTCTACAAAAATCACAGCACTATTTCCCTGGAAAATTCCTAACAGAGGGAAAAGGCATCTGTCCCCTATCTTTGTTATGACACGGGATGAAATGTCATATATTGAGGGTGAGACAAGGTAGGTAATCGTTCCTTTTTCCCCACAGATTGAAACACGGTGCATCCTGGGAAGAAGTGTTAAATAACTACAAGCTACCTCATAGTGTGTGTGCCTTATATGTGGCCTGGGCTTATAAAAACCCTGTTTCTGAGTCTGGGGAAGTATCCTCCACACCTACGATCATTGTTTCAGCAGCAGATGCCATCTTAGGGTCCCTCCCTCAGCTCTGCCCACTTTCTCTTATCCAGAGACCAAGTCTCATTCTGACTTCTGAAGAGGTAGCTGTCCAGGATCAGGAGGAAGGTTATAGTTTCGCCCCAGAAGACAGAGAGAAAAGTTAGTCCTTCAACATCTAGTATTTACTATTCACAGCTTAAGAATGCTACACTGCCAAGATTGGCTTTATTTCCCATTCGTTGAGGTTTTTAGAAGATAAAAGTACTGATCACTACCAGTCATCCATAGATGTTGAGTCATTTTCTTGCCATTTTCTGAAATGCCACCACCCACCTCTCCCCTGAATTCTGATTTTTCCATATGTTATACCAACAACAGAGAAAGATGAAGTGGACTCAAGAATCAGTCATGTGAAGAGGAAATTAAATGCCAGGCTTGAAGCAATCTTTTTCCACTAGATACCTCCACCTCACACCCCATCCCCAAAATGGCCTACCTTTTCCTCAAGAGCGAAGCAGTCTTCTTATTGTCATCCACACACCTCTGCATCAAAGTTTTATTTCTGAAAATGGGAATTACCAGTGCTGTGGTCAAGAAATGAGGAGCACTTCCTCTTCTTTTGTATTGCTGAGAAAAAAAAGAGAAAACTAAACTCTCCAATTCTTCTTAAGGAAAGCCTTCAAGAAGAAATCTTATCCCTCTCTCATAGTAAATACATAAATAATAGAACTATTAATTGTAGAACACCATTTCTAGGATATCAGACACAGGTCTGTATTAGAATTTCAAAAAAGTTAGCTGCAGAAAACAGGAAAGCCACAGTGTAGAGTAATTTTACTCATTAACCTGGGTCTATTCTATGCATTTGTTAAATGAAAAAATAAATTCTACAACATGGTAAATTGGCTTATAAAAATCTCTACATGTGTACTTCTAATTTAATTCTGTTGAGTGAAACCAATGTTTATTAAGTACCTATTGTGTGAAGACCATAGTGTAATAGGTGCTGGAATAAGGAATCAAAAAAGCATTAGCCCTAGACCTGGGTTTGAATCTTGTCCCTGAAAATTTCTACCAATGTGATGCCTTCTTGTGCCTCAGTTTTCTCATCTATAAAATAAAGGGCACAGTACTAGATGGTTTCTAAGGTCCTTTGCAATGCTAAATCTATGATCCTATGAACCAAAGTTTAGAAAAGACATGGTCCCTGCCCTCATAGGGCTGACAATCTAGTAAAGGGGTATGGCATATACAAATACTTTAAGGAGTTCATTTTATTTTCATTTTATATTTTTCAATCAACAAACATTTATTTTCTTCCCTTTCATCCTCTATGCCCTCTTCCTCTCCCTTTCAATTTATCTAGGCTAGTCCTTGGAAGGAAAACAGATTGCTACCCTCCAAACTTAAAATTCTTCTGGCTTGATAGAACCTGCCAAGTACCATGTTGCACTGCTGTAATCTTAGAAAATAAAGGGTTGACATTCCTTCTTCCCCACCCTCCCCACCCTTCTTCTCTCTCTCCTCTTTTCCAGCCTTCCCAGAACTGAACTCAATATTCCAGATGAGGTGTGATGAGGACAAGAATTCAGTCAGACTATCACCATCCCTTATTCCTGGAAGACATGCACCTTTTCGTGCATCCCAAGATCACATTGGTTTTTTGGGCTGCTGCATCAAACTGTTGATTCATACTTAACTTTCAGCTCACCGAAACACCCAGATCTTTTTTTTTCATAACAGTGTCTGTCTCTGTGTTTTTACATTTTATATTTGTAAAATATTTTTGTACCTAAGTGAAAGACTACATTTATCCTTAGTGAATTTTTATCTTATTCTATTCAGCCAAATGCTTTATTCTGTCAAGATACTTTTGGATCCAAACTCTGTCATTCACTTTGTTAGCTACTCCTCCTAGCCTGGTATCACCTTCAGACTTGATAAGGATACCATCTATGTCTTATCCAAGTCCCTGATAAAAATATTAAGTAGTCCTGAGCCAAGCACAGATCCCTGGGGTAATTCATCAGAGAACTTCTAACCCACTGACACTGAACCATTAATTATTACTCTTTGAATCTGGCCATCCAACTCATTCTGAATCCTGATTGTTATTCAGGGGAGGGGAACCTGTGGCCTTGAGGCCACATGTGGCCCTCTAGGTCCTCAAGTGTGGCCCTTTGACTGAATCCAAACTTCACAGAACAAATCCCCTTAATAAAAGGATCTGTTCTGTAAAACGTGGACTCAGTCAAAAGGCCACACTCAAGGACCTAGAAGGCCACAGGCTGCAGGTTCCCCACTCCTGGATCTATCTCCATCTTCTCTATGAGAAATGTATGAGACACTATACCAAAAACTGCGTTAAAATATAGGTAAACTGTAGCTACAGGATTCCCTTCATTGACTAGTCTAGCTATTCTGTTGGAAAAAGTAATAGAATCAGTGTGGTATCACCTGTTCTTGATGAACAGCTGTTTCTTTCTAACTGACATTCTATCTTCCAGATGTTCACCAACCACTTCTTCAACAAGCCATTCTAGAAGGCCAGTTTGTGAGAACCATAGAAGGAGGTGCTGTATACTAATGCTGGACAGCTACGCTTGAGTCACATTGTGAAGGGCTTTAAATGCTAAACAGATGAGTCTGGATTTGATTCTAGGGGCAAAACGGAGCCACTAGAACTTTTTAAGCAAAAGATTGACGTGGGGAGGCAGCTAGGTGGTGCAGTGGATAGAACACTGGCCCTAGAGTCAGGAGGACCTGAGTTCAAATCCAGCCTCAGACACTTGACACTTGCTAGCTGTGTGACCTTGGGCAAGTCATGTAGCCCCATTGCCTGGCCCCCCAAAACAACAGTAAAAAGACTGACATGCTCAGATCTGTTTTAGCTATTTCTTTCTTTCTTTAAGAATACTGCTACGGCAGTTGATTGGGGAGGCAGGTAGTGTGAGTTAGGAAGACCAGTCATCCAGGTGAGAAGTAATGAAGACAAAGCCTAAACAAGGACACCAGCCATGTAAGTAGATGAAGGGAACAGATGCTTCTTCACTCCTTTGATTTTTCCTCAGTAGCTGTCCTGCTATTTGGTCCAGAAGCCAAGCTCTGGAGGACTTAACCCTTTAGTACCCAGAAATGCCTCTATAGGAATCTGCCATCTAGACTGATGATGCCTTTGGCTACTCACTATAGGTCCATCTCTAGGTAAATATTTTACGTTTACTTATGTAGGTGCATGTTAATTTTCCGAGTAGTATGTGAGTTCTTTGGTTGTCATTGTTGCTGTTGTTTGTCCTTTGTTCTAGAAGACGACCAATGACATCAGGAAGCTGATGTCTTGACTTGCAAGTGACTTGGATTTAAGTGAGGCAGGGCTGTGCCAAGTCATCAGCCTCACTGTCTCCTACAAAGTTATCAGAGTCCAGTAAGACACAGGCAGGACGACTGGCGACGGTCCCTGAGTTCCTTGAGGGATGGGACTGTTTCACATTTTTTGTCGCTGTACCCCCAGCACATAGTAGCTACTTATTAAATATTTGTTGATTGATTCTCACATCGTTAAAAGCATGAGTTAATAATAGCCAGCATTTATACAGCACCTACTATGTACTATGTACCCTGTGCTAAGTGCTTTAAGACTACTATCTCATTTGATCCTTACAACACCCTTGTGGGGTAGGTGCAATTATTGTCCCAATTTTACAGTTGAGGAAACTGAGGCAAACAGAGGTAAAATGACCTACCCAAGGTCACACAGCTAGTTACTGTCTGAAGGTGGATTTGAACACAAGTCTTCCCTGATTCCAGGACCACTGTTTATATACTAGAGGCCTAGCTGCCTCTAGAGTTCTTGTCCTAATAAACCACATTGCTCTTATGCTGTCATTCCTTTCCTCCAAATGCTCTGGCAGCTCTTCATTACTTACCAAATAAAAGTTTAAACCCCTAAACTTGATAGTCAGAATATAAAAAATCTGGCTTTACCCTTCATTTTAAATTTTATCTCATATTCCTCTCTACCTACTCTCCTGCTGTCTCTTCTTCTTTCTGTACACTTGTGTTCATCCTTGGAATGGATTCTCTTCCACAACTCAATTAAACAAATATTAACATTGATAATATTAAATATTAATAGTGACTATTAGTTTATATTTATACATTATTATTAATATTAAATGTTAATGTTAATATTAAATGTCTACTATAGGCAGGTCAGGCACTGAGGTTACAAAGACAAAAGAGGAACTGTCCCTACCTTCAAAGAACTTAGATTCTATGGCAATGCTTCTCTCCTTGGTTCAGCTCTACTGTGTAAAACCACGCTTTCCTTTTACTGCAAGGGTTCTTAATCTTGGGTCTGTGATCTTTCAAAAAATATTTTGATAACATTTCCATGTCATTGTTTTTTTTATATTATATATTTTTGTTTTGTGACTTTAAAAGCATTATTTTGAGAAAAGGGCTATAGGTTTCACCAAATTGCCCCACAGGACAATGATATATAAAAGGTTAAGAACCTCTAATATGAAGCCAAACTCAGGTGCCACTTCCTCCATGAAGCCTTGCTGGATCCTCTCAGGTGATACAAAGAATCTCTTCTTTCTTACACCTTTCACAACACTTTGCCTAGATCTGTCCTGTGCCCTCATCCTATTCTCCTTTGAATTCTAGTTAAATTGCCTCTTTCTCTCTACTCATTTACAAACTACTGGAAAGCAAGGATAGGATTTTTGGTAAGGAAATAAGGAATCTGGTAGGATGCAAGGATAGGGTTGTCTAGGTCTTTATATCCCTAAAAGTTTACTCATAAGAGGAGCTTAATAAATGCTTATCTAATTGGGTGGCATAAGAAATAATGGAATTAGACAAGGGGACAGACTTAGTGGACTAACCCAGAAGTGGGCAATCTTCAGTCCTAGTTACACTTTGGGGCACTGAGGTGGCACTCTATCATTCCCGAATCTTTTCCCCCCTCCCCATTATTTCCATTTCTTTCCCTTCCTTAACCCCTACTTTCCTTCCCATTTTCTTTTTTTCTAGAAATAGCTTAGGTCTATCAAAGTTCTACTGAATGCTTGGGACTAACAATCTTGCTGATTCTTAGATAGAATAATGGACCAAGTTTTGGCAGCTCTATGTCCAAGGTGTTCAGCTTTTTACTTGCCATATGATTCTTGGTGGCTTTACTCATAAAACAGGAGAAACAGTATGACATAGAGAACAGAAGGCCAGTAACTTAACTTCTAAGTGTCCTGGGAAACTCCCTAAGACTAGAAGTGATAAAGTAAATTCTGCATTGGTGGACAGAATTTTTATACCAGGAGTTTCCCATACCAATGACAGCATAGATATACATCAAATAAATCTCAAGGGGTTTTGAAAACATTATTACACTAGCTTAAATATAGGCCATGCCTACAAAAAGAAGATACTTTGAAATGAAGAAATAACAGAAAAAGACAGAGTTGGAAGGAACCTCAGAAGCCTTTAGTGCCCCCCCATACACATGGAAGAACACCTAAAATATCCTGACCAAGAGGTCATCTAGCTTCTGCCTGAAGACCTCCTCCATTTCCTCTGGAGACAACCCATCCCAATTTTGGATTCTCACTGTTGGGAATTTTTTC